GCAGAATGCAAAGCAAACCACGACAAAGAACCACAGTTTTCATTTTCTGCGCTGAGAGATACTAGGCAACTATCACATAGAACCAGAGTACTAAGATGACTATTGCGACAAGGTGCTTTCACGATGTCAAAGACCTTAAGCTTGTCTGTTCTCTTTGGGGTCCCCGACCTCCCTGCGGTGTTGCATCTACCCCCCACAGTAATTCCGCAGAGTAACGTCCATCCCCTGAGAGGTCATTGCTGCATCGGACCTCGAGCAAGATCGAAAACGAACTATTCTACAGAACCACAATACTGAGGCGTTGTCTCAGTGTTCCGTTGACGCACGTTCGTGCCCGGAGCCAAAAGCAATGGTGTCGGACCTGCAGCCGCAGGCCACGCGACCCGCGACCCAAAACCAGAGCACGTCCCAGCACCACTATCAAAAAACTATCAAAAAAAGAAGTACAGCTTATCTGTTCTCGTTGGGAACCCCGACCTTGCTGAAACGTCTGCTAAGCAAAGCTACGTCCACTTTCTCCGAGGTGATTGCGTCGGATCTTCGCATCCACTTGCAACATACCACGTAGACTCAGGCCACAGCAGTCTTGCCTGTCAGCCTCCGCCTCTTGGCTTGTCCTGTTCCAGAAACACCAAGCGTGCGGTTCACGTAAGCATTTCCCCTCCAAAGCAGCTTCTGGATGTACTTTTCCGCAGCTTGCTCACTCTGCACAGACAGACGTTCAAAGAGGCTCATACGATCCACCAAAGTCTTGTTGTGCTCATGCAAGAAGCCTTCGAAATATGGGCGCTCAGGCACTCCAATGAGCCATAAATCGCTCAACTTCGTTGCTCGTGACAACATGACATAGAGGGCCAAACCGTAATCTCCATCCTTCATCCAGGGAGGTTGATTCAGAAAAGCGAGCAGGCCAGATCTGGCAGTGATGCCTTGCAGCCCAAAATGAGTCAGCACTCGCTGTGGGGCCAAGGGTACCTGCGCATAAAGGAAACTAAACGAGAAAGACAGACCGACGCGACGACGATATGATGTACACCAGAGAACCCAAAACAAGTTAGTGCGTCCCAAGCCTGTTTCCGAACAAGTCGAAGTTTCTGCTTGGGCGCAACCTCAAAGACCCAGGCCGATTGCTTATTGAACACAGGCCTCACGTAGAAATGACCCTTGGGTACGTCGTCGCCAGGGACCTGAAACTGACCATAATCACTGTCTGCGACCTCCACCAAGACTCCAAGCGGCGGGTACTGCAGGACCACGCAAGCTGCTCCAGGTGGCGTTGGAGGTTCTTTGGGATGTAGTTCTATGCGTCGCACTATGCACGGGAGCTCACGCGTCAGCAAGGGCTCCGGCAAGATGCACGAAATGCGCACGTCCACCCCAAGAAACAACGGACACATGCCAATCAAATAGCCAGTCTTGGTCATGTTCAAACACTGCAGAGCTGCGCTGACCTGGGCGGAAGACAGTGTGGCGTCGCCGGTGGGCTTGTCGATGGCTTGCACGAAGTACAGCCGTTCTCCAGCATCTTCCGCCTCAAGCACTGCTCGCAACTGTTGCAACCGAGCAACCTGCTCCCAAGCAAGTGCACCCCAGTAGGCCCGCAAGAACGCCCGGCGCGAAGGCGCGGTCTGGAGGTCTTGCAGTTGCTGGACCTCGTAGACACGACTCTGGAGTTGCGCCCAGAGTGCGTCCGTCATGGCGGTGCCTTGCCGCATGTGCTGCAAAATGGCCACCAAAGCTTGGCCAGAAGCGCAAGAAGAGAAACGCCCAGTTCCAGTGAAGTGCACCACAATGCCCATGGAGTTCTTGAACAAGAGCCGCCCCAGCTCGGCTGCGTTGTGCTGGCCTGCTCTGGGGCTTCGGCTTCTTGAAGTTCCGTCAGCGGCGCTGGTTCTACCGCTGACGGAACTTCCACCCATTCGCAGAGGCTCGCTTGGGCGGCAGGGCGTAACTGTAGGAAGTCGCACAATTGTAGCCCTATTGGCATCTTGCCGAACCACTCCTGCAGATAGCGGCTCAGGTCCTGCGCCCAGTCCTCACAGCGCTTCACCGAGAAGCGCAGGCCAAGAGCATGATACACATCCGCTGCGCTCATCGACAGCTCATCGACGATGCAGGCCAACGACGCCAGGATCTGTTGCTCCAAGGCATCATTTTTGTTCCGCTGCCCTCGGATGGCGCCGCGGTGTAGTGCGGAGTTGGGGGAAATGTTCGCCAGTTTGTGCAGAGTTCTGGCTTCTGCTCCCAACAACCGTGCGGCCGCATGGGTCGGTGCCCCGGCAGTGTAGCGACCAAAGCCAAAGAAGCGCTGGAACAAAGGTCGCAAGACTTTGGTGTATGCCCACGTTTTGCCCGAGCCCCCCGCGCCAAGCCATAGACAGTTGCACCGCTCACTGGGCTGGCCATTGGCGAAGCAGGTGCTCGCTTCGGCGCGCTTCTCCCACATTTCATCAATCGTGCAAACAATGGGAGCCACAGCGCGAATCTGCTGTGCGTTGAGTGTGCACTCCTGTCGCGTGCTCGGAACCCTTGCGACGTACTCAGAACTTTCACACGGTCCCATTACAATCTGGTCCCATTGAACAAGAAACCTCTATGCAATAAACTCTCCAAGAAACATCTACTTAAGGACACAAGTCGTTCGATCCACCCCGTGATTCTCCGCCAGCTTTGGTCCTCCACCAGCTTCAAGGCATAGTCCCTCGGTCGCAGATTCTGCGCATTCAGATCCATCAAGAACGGATCCGTCGTAGTCATCGCTTCCAGGCCAGTCGGCGCAAACTCCTCCTCAGCATCATCTGGAACACCTGGCGTATGGGTCATTGGCTGTAAAAAACTAGACGACGAGTAGCTGCAAAAAAAAATGCTGAGTACAACTATATCTCCGTCTCCGGGCGCTATCGCGATAACAATACAACATGTTTTCTCGGACTCTCACGCGCGATCTTAACGACACCGAATTCACAGACCAAAATTATATCTATCAAGCTAGTGTCGCACAGTGCAGAAGCTCTCAACCAAAATACTGTCTATCTGGCGCAGAAGGCCTCCAGACACATTCTCCAGGTACTGGGATTGCCGGTCAAACATGTCTTGTGCTTCAGCAAAGGCCCATGCGCGACGAAGAGCACCATCCAGAGGACGCTCGCCTTCAACATTGACAGTCACATTGGGCGAGCCACCCATGGCTTCAACCACTTGCTTCAATCTGCTCAGAGCAAACTTCGTGCGGTTGTCGCGTCCTGCCAGGCAACGCTTCCAGTCTTTCTCACGAAAGAGTACTTCTTTCAAAGCTTCTCGGCTCACAGGATGTTCGGCGCAATCCATGCGCTCTATCGCATCTTCGTGCTCGAGATCGTTCTCCACATCAGATCCTTCTATGTCCACGGGACCGACATCGTCCTCCGCGCACATGGACACTTGCCAGTGATGCTTGTCAAACAACTACGCTACATACACA